GCACAGAGGAAAGTGGCCCTTCCCCGCCCTGCGGCCGGTGCTCCCTGCTGCAGCCTGCATGGGGCTGTCTGGAGCAGACACGGGCAGCCCCAGGTGGGCTGCGAGCAGCTGCAGTGTGGGGCACTGGGCACAGGATGGGCGAGGGGCCACTTTACCCCTCCCCATGCTCAAAATCACTTGTAACCCAGCCCCAAAGCCAGCCTGGGCCCTGCATGGCTCCCGGCTTGTTGTCTGTTGAGGCAGCACGTGGAGACAGCAGCTGTGGTCCCCCCGCTTGCCATGCCAGACAGTGTTTGCCACTGCCACCTCTGGGCTGCCCAGCGTACAAGCTCTGGGCGGGCAGCAGCAGCCAACACTGCCTGGTGTGGCAAGCTGGCAGCAGGGCACAACTGCTGTGCACAGTCCCAACAGGCAAGCCGGGAGCTGGCACGGAGCCCAGGCTAGCAGCAGGGGCGGGTTACAAGCTGGTGCTGAGCATGGGGAAAAGCAGCCCCTCACTCGCCCCGTGGCCGGTGCCCCATGCTGTAGCTGCTTGCAGCCCACGTGGGGCTGCCTGTGCCTGCTTAGCACCAGCTTTTCCCTGTGCTCAGCACCAGCTTGTTCCCTGCTGGTGAGCAGGGGGTCGACCTGTACTGCAGGGCTGGGGGGCACTGGGAGTGAGTGGGTGGGGAGCCAGCAGGAGCATGGGGCCCGCACCCGTGTCCTGGGGCCAGTGCTGGCAGGGCCCAGAGCAGGGTGGCAGGAGTGCGGGGTCCCAGCCGGCATGGACTGTATGGAGCTGGGCCAGCTCCCCCCTCTCCCTGCTGGTGCAGCCCAGCCCGGCTCCACAGATCCCTGCCAGCCTGTGCCCTGCTTTGGGCCCCAGCGATGCTGGCCCTGGGACATGGGACCAATGTCCCAATGTCTTGGGACCAAAGACCAGGGGGCGGGGCACCTGTCAAGGGGCAGGGCTACCTATGCAGCCCTCGACAGCATGCCAAAACTGGGTAAGTGGCCCCCCGCCCGAAATAATTGTCCTCCCCTGGTGTAAGTACACACTAATTATTTTCTTGAGTTAACTTGGAAATTGTCTAAATATGAACCTCCACCTTTGGCCCCACATGTACATATTCAGCACGGATATTGAAAAGAAAGACTACCTACTTGAAAGCTGTCACTACAGTTTAAGTGTATTGTAGTGCATTAAACTGAGGCCATCTCCATGTTTTATTACAATGCCATTTACATTTTCTTATTCTTTCCACTGTAACAAAGGGTACATCATATGTAATACAATCACGTGCAGAGAACAGGACTACAAATCTGTTCTGGTTGAAACTGTAATTAAATAATTCACAGTATGCAACAGGAAATGTATCTGTTGGATAGTACTGAATATAGTTGCTAAAAACAAAATAAAGGCAAAACCTCCCATAATAAACAGAAAATGCAACAACCGTTGAGCCATTTAAGAAAGAAAATGGGTATCAGGTTGTAAATAAATGTTCAGATATAGCTGTAACAACTGCAGAACTACTATATTTTCTTGCATATAACACATACCTTTTCCCCAAAATTCTGCTGTGGGAAATTGTGTTGGGCATTGTAATCAAGGAAATATGATAATAGCAGTTTCTGTGGCTTAAAACTTCTGCCAGGAGAAAGCAAAGTAAAACTTCACTTGCTGCAGGCAGGGCTCCCTAGCTGCTGGCTGTGGACACTTTTTCTCCCCTCCTCCCACTACTCCACCTCCAACTTCCTCTAGCCAACAGAGGCTCTCAAGCAAAGATCTTTTTTTCTTCCTTCTGCCTTTCAAAAACAAGATGCAGATTTACTTTGGGGGTAGGTAATATGAGAGAATACATAGTACCTGCTCTTCCATCCTGTCATTGCCATCTCTAAATGAATCTCTCAGGCCTTCTGCCTTAATCTCTCCTGTGAAGAATTTTCAGATTCTCTCTCTCTTCAGCCAGCCCCTAAACTATAATTGTCCTCTAATGCCCTATATATCCATTTACCTGACTGGGACTGGCTGAGTTCTATATACCAGTGGTTCTTCCCTTCAAGAGTCAGTGACCAAAGTTGGAAAGAGCAATCCAACAGCCAACCTTCTTAGGCCAAAATACTGTTAAATTGTATCAACAGAAACAAAACATTGAGGAAAAAAAGATTTAAAAAGCAAGAAGGGGTCTAGGCTGTAAAGCGCCTAAAGTAGAGACTATCTTTGTTCTCTGTTGGTACTGCACTTAGCATAATGTCTTATGCAAAAAAACTGTGCCATCAGCACAAACCTGCAAACTATGCACAAAACCCGAGCTAGTTGACCCCGCCCTCAGAAACCCCTTTTTCTCCTCTTATTTTCCCGCAGGCGCGAAAAGTTGACCAATCGGGACCCGCAATGCAAGAGACGTCATTTGGCCTATAAAACCTACGTGCGAGCTTCCGCCCAGCAGAAGCAGCGCTCATCAGCGCACTGAGGAGGAACTCTTCCTCCCCACCCAGGCTTGGCCAGCCTTGACGTGCTTCTCCGCCACCGACCACGAAATTTCCCTCGCGTACCCTTCCCAGTGCACTCGATAAGACCTCGTTCAGCTCTGTCTCTGCAGCTGTCAATCTCGCAACGTAACCGATACCTGTTTTCTGCTTGGTCTGCGCCTACGCGTCTATTCCATTGATGTGTAAGTAAAACGAAAACAAAAACTTCTGTAACCATTACGAGTGTGTAGACGCGTCCTTTATGAAACCCACCCAAGGGGAAAAGACACATAATGTGGCACTTGGTCCATGACTAAGATCCTATGCACTACATTAATCTATTTCACCACTAGGCTTACCACACCTTGATGATAACGCAGGCAGACCTAATTTCTTCAGACACTGGAAAATGGAAGTCTTCCTTTACACAACCAGATATGTTCTTGATCCTTTAGTTTCCAGTCATGGCCATTAGGGGTGTGCAAAGCGGGACCTATTCAATTCAGATTCAGCCCAAATCGGGGACAGTGATTTGATTTGATTTGGATCACTGTCCCTGATTTGATTTGGCCAAATCCAAATCTGAAGATTCAATGTCAATTCGGAGAATCAGTGATTCAGCCATAGACACAGCTTTAAATGTTTTTTCTACATACCTCAAGGTACCAGCACAGCTCATGAACACTGCAGTGGTGGGGTGCATGAAGCGTCCCACAGGAGCGTGCCCTCCCCACCATGTGCTCAATGGTAAACCCAGAAGTGGACCAGAAGTACTTCCAATCCACTTCCGGGTCTGGCAAGGAGCACGCAGGGGGCCCTCCCGGCATCTCCCTGGCTCAGTGATCAGCCGCAGGGGGACCCTGGGTACCCCCCCAGACCCAGAAGGCACCAGTTGTCGAGCCAGAGGGGGTGGGGGTGGGGGGGGCCTGTGTGCTCCCTGGCAGACTCACAGGTGGACCAGACGTCCCTCTGGTCCACTTCCAGACCTGCTGCCAAGCACACTGGGGAGCCCCCTGCACTTCTGTGGGACACTCCATGTGCCCCAGCATCACAGTGTTCACGAGCTGCCTGGTACCTAGAGGTATGTAGAAAAGACATTTAAAGCTATGTCTATGTCCGAATCATTCTGAATCAACTCGGATCATCCCGATTCAATTGGGAGAGATTAAAGGGCCCTCTGATTTGGATTTGGAGATTTGGCCACCAAATAGGGCTGAATCTCCGCTGAACTGAATCAGGGACCGAAGCTTTGCACAGCCCTAATAGCCATGTATGCCAAACTCAGTGCAACTGGCCAGAGCCCAAGAGTAGAACTGCCACAACAAGTAAGTGGGTATAATCTTTTAACAATCCTGGATTTTTACCAAAAGTAGCACATCTTATCCAATCATTTTACTTCTTTTTTTTCATTTTGATTTCAGTAAGAAATTACATTTGCATAGTCTTAGAAGAAATATCCCAGTAACCAAGTTAATAGCCAATATTCATAAATTACTGGGCAGCTTACATCCATTATAAAGAGATATTGCATATCAACATAAAGCAAGGATGACGTCATGAGAGTTATGGGCAAAGTTAGGCCAGTTACTCATGGTAAATAATCTATTGGGTGTGGCACCCAATCTTCTTCCCCAGAGTCCATCTGAGGCGCGGATTCATGGCAATGGCCCAGCCTTGTCCTGCTCCAGCCAGGTGGCAACAGCCTGGCCTGGGCCCTATCCAGCCATAAGGGGTTGGAAATTTGGCAATAGGCAAAAGGTGGCAGTGTTAATTGCAAGGCTTCCCTACCACCAAATTTCCTGAACCATTCAGAGCTCCGTGGGCTGGATGCCATGGCTCTGTAGACCAGATTTCACCTGCAGGCCAGCAGTTGAGCATGTCTTACAGTATACTGTAGTAATTTTCTGTGCCCTATACAGATTCTACATTGGGAACACTTTTTTATAATTTAACATATCCAAAACTAAACTATACAAAGGCACATTCAGGATGCAATAAAAGTTAGTACACAATAGTTAGTATGCTTTAAATTACTGCTGTAACTTACTCCACAAAACAACTTTTGTGAGACAAGCAACTACAAAATTCAGAATTAATGGATTATATCAGGTTTCTTAATACACCTAATACTGTTCCTGCTCCCTCACTGAATAGCTCAGACTCAGGTATCAGCACTAAAAAAAAGTCAGAAGTCAGGAGATTACAAAACAGACAGAAAGAAAGGAAAGAGAAAGGCTTTATCGCCTTGTGGTAAGTAAAGCTTGAAAGCATGGCTCGAACATCATTAGTGTAGCAATTCAAGGCTGAGTCTACAGGTAGTTGTAACCACAACTGTGAGAAGCATACGCTACTCCAAGCATTAACTCAAATATCCACCATTCTGGAGTCCAACCCAACAAAAAGCACAAACAACAACCCAACAAAAGACACTGGGGCTCCATATCCAGCCCAGCTACAATGCAAGGCAACATCCCAACAGAAAAAACACTGAAGTGAATCCCCTGTTACCACCTTTGCCTCTCTTGCAGCAAAATCAGAAACCTTACTGCCGTACTTTTTACTACACAAAGGAGAGGTACCCCTGTTTCTGGCCTTCCTTATCCCCAAAAGAAAAGGAGCCCTGCGGCTGTTTCTACAGATGGATAGTAAATCCTGATGGTGCTCTTTTCCATCTGTGGGAAGGAAGGAAGCCCTGTTTTGAGACTTCCATAATAAGTGACGGCTTGTCTCAGGACGAAGGGCTCCAGATTATGTGCTTGATAACAAACTTCTATGAAACAGCAGGAAGAAAGCCAAAGATATTTCAAAATGATTGTGGCACAGGAATCTTTGCATAAACATACCCATAGGATATGTGCAAGGATTGCTTCCTGCAAATGAACTTGTGAATGACAAAACAACCTCATAAAAAGTTTATATACAATGAATCATAAGTATTTTAAGAAGCAACACAATTTTTCAGGTTTTGTTCACGTGCATACATGTTTCTAAATATCTGTTAAGTATCTATCCATTTTTATTACATAGATTCTTTTCACCTGCCCAACCCCCAAAACCATAAAAAGACATCTGTTTGTTCCAAATGCAACTAAGAATCTCATTATCTAGATTCAGTTTTTCAGTTTCCTTGACAAGCTATTCTTCAGAATTAGATTTAAGATCCAGTCATGGCTACATGTATGTAATACAGTGAAATAAAATGAGGACATGAATTAACCAGGAAATGAGCTACCAATTCTTCACTGACTAACAAACAGAAATACTACCTGTATTGATACTTTTAAAATCAAAGCATTTAAGGACATGAATTAGTTAAAAAAAATCCTGAGCCAAAGCACCCTGAGCCCAAACACCCTTCTAATCTAGGATGACATTTTGACATTGAATTGTCTTCAGTATTACACCTACATCACTGAAAAATATTTAATATCATAATAGTGCTTAAAATATTATAATTAAGCTCTAGCCCTACTTTTTGGACCTATTCTCAGCATAGACTGTACCACAACAAATTAAAATATCAGATGTCCCTAGAACCTGTTCTTAAAAGATTAACTTGGTAAAATATTGATACAAATTTTAATAACAAAAAGTAACATCTGTAAGTGGTTTCATAGATGGTGAATTTTTAAATTATATATGACTAAAAGTTGGAATTAAACATTTCAGATTCTAAAATCTCTATTCAAGTAATAAAAATATTAGATTTACAGTATAGTCTCTTTTGGGGAAAAATGTGGTCAATTTAAGTTAGGTATGACTGGTATTATAGCCATGATGCTCATATGAATGTGAGAATCAACGTTTCTTTGGTAATATATTTTATTGAACCAACTGTATCATTGGAAAAAATGTCAGCTAAGCTTTCTGGCACAAAGTGAAAGCGTGTCTAATTTCTAATTAGCTACCTTTATGAAAATTCACTGAACTCTAAGAGTGATATAGGTTGCACCAATATCATGGAGGACATCAGCTGAAGACTGCAAGATGCACAGCTGTTATGGATGGTGTAGTAAGAGTACAACTGTACACCTAGAGGAGTTTTTCTTTTAATCTAATTGGCAGATTCTGTGTGTTAGGGGCGAAGGAAGGGCCCAACACTTAGCTATGCTTATAAATGTGAAGTCCTGGGCTGGTCTCATTGTGCATGACAGTACCAGTAGAGTGGCCAGCAAATAATGAGCAGTCGTGTTTTACTGATGTGTGTATATGCATCACAAGAACAACAATAAAAATATTCTATTCTCATTACCTCTCCTTCTTATAGTCATTTTCACTGTGACCTAAAACCAACCTGAGAACTCAGCCACAATCCATAACCAGCTTCAGAATTCAGAAACAAAGGCCCACAATCTCTATTAATATATAACCTCTGTTACAACTGCTGGCAGAAAAGCATCTCATGGTGACCTAGCCATTTCAGTAAAGTTAGAATTTATAATAGATGGTGCTTAAAATGCAGTTGGTAAACATCAAGGGACAACATAATTTCTATTGAATCATAATCACTGAGCTGCAGGTAAGGATAAGAAATGTTGTTAAGTTTTACACGGTGTTTGCTATTTCAAGCAAGCAGTGCTTTACTGTTCTTCTGAAAAATGCCAGTTAGGGGTTTCAACAGTTCTAATAAACCTAGGCTGTAAGTGCCATGCTTGAATCTATATTTTTGGATGTATGCCCAACAATAAATGATCCACAATGATCTGAGGACAGCACTCATCCAAGAACTTAATCAGATTAATGATGTATTTGTTTTATAAAAAGGAGGAACATTAAGCCTGAGAATACCTAATTTACATATTAAATGGTTGAGGGGGACAAAAATAAGAGTGGTTTTATAAAATTAAGATGACAAAATTGTCTAGTGTCTTGAAAATCTGTTAGTAAATTGGAGTGAAATCCAAAATAATAAATATGTGTTCATTAGCAGTATTCATATACATTCATCAATGCTGTTTAATTGTTCAAAAGAATGTAATGATGTTAAAATTCATAAAATGTGTACTAAGAAAAATATTGGTGGCATAATACAAAGGTGGTAATAACACTAAAATTACATCCAGAATTTTCTAATTAGCTTGACCTAAAACCATAATTAATACTATAATTTTGCCTGCATATATTTGCAAATGATAGGAAGGTTCTAAAAACATCACTGAAATAGTTTGTGCTAGTTTAGGCTACACTGGGTGTGTCTACACATGCTTTAATGTGCCTTAGTTAATGCTCATTTAATCTAGTACCTTCAGGCATCTGTACACATGCTCCAGGGGTGGGGGAAGATGCTTTAATTAGAGCAGCTCTGACAGCCAGTTAATTAAAGCACCCGTAATGTCTTGTGTATCAGCATCCCTGTGCTTCAAAATGGTGGCAGAGGTGCTTTATCTAAAGCCTGGCAAATGAGCTTTAGATAAAATGCCCCCACTGCCACTTAGAAGTGCAGGGACACTGATACACGAGACACAAAAGCTGGCTGAAGCATGGTAATTACCATGCTGCAGAAGACTTGATTAATCAAGTCTGCATAATTACAGCATGTTGAAGCAGCCTCTGAGCTCATGTATAGGCACCCTCTATGTGAGGTAATAAAAAAATGTGCATTAGCCTGTCTTAATGCTCATTAACTAAAGAGCACAGTTTTTAAATGACACTATGCACATTAGCCTATTTTAATGTGTGTTAATTAAATAGCACATTTTTAGTGATGCTTTAATGCACATTAAAATAGGCTAATGCTCATTAAAGTTCAGTGTAGATGCTCCCACTGTATAACAGACCAACATCATAGAATGCGACACACCTCCTGAAGAGGTGAATTGTATGTTGCAAAGCTCAGGGGTGGCCCATCTGTGTCACAAGTGGCACAGGGAGCCTGTGTGTGTGACTCATGGCAGATTAAGGAGGGGACATGGAGCACAGCAGCAGATAGGGCAGGAAGCAGAAAACAGAGCAAAAGGATCAGGCATGGCACACAGAGTAGGGAGAAGAAAGGAGAGCAGCAGATTGGGCAAGGCAGGGAATCTGAGTGGCATTCGGTGAGGGTGAAGGGCTAATTTGTGGCACACTTGTCAAAAAGGTTCCCATTCCAATATAATGAAAGAGAATAACATCCAATACTGTTCACTGTTTTTTCCTACTTGTGTCAGACACTGCATTTCTTTTTCAACTAAAGTTACAGCACACTTGTAGACATGCCCACTGTATAAGAAATATGTTGGTTATAAATCAGATTCTCCAGAAACAACAAGAGAGCTCCTGCTTCAACAAATATATTGTGTATTGTAAAGACAGATCTCCTACTCTTACAAAGTATGTTGGCCCAAATGATATTGTTTGATCAAGATAAAGAAATCTCACTAAAATATATGAAGAGTGGACTTATTTCTGAATCATAATAGGTTACACTCTAGGGAAAGAAAATCAATGAGCAAACACAAAATGAGCAATGGAGAAATATATCAAATTTAGCCAAATACAAGATAAGGGTTTTTTTCCTCCAGTAAACATGGGGGAAAAAGCCACTTGGCCTCAAAATCACATACAAGGAAACCTCATTAAATACAATGTCTATCATTAAACTGCTGCCAAAACTATTAAGTGCTCAGGAATGGAAAGCAACTATGAAGTTGATTAAATACAGGAAACAGTGAGCATGACTATAAAGCACATGGCTCATACAGGGCAAGCATACTGATGGAAATCTTTCAGATAGCAGGGCAAAAGGACTGAGATATACTGATGGAAACCTACCACAAGAATAGGTAAGTGCAGCCCATTTGAACAAGATACATGGTAGTGCCCATTGCAGGCAGTTCCCCCCTCAGTGCTGACGCTTTTTCAAGTTATGGTGAGCCACTACATTGAATGCAGAGAGAAGGGATAAAGCCTTAAATATAACATTTTAATTTAGGTAAGTAGGGGAGTATTTGCATTAGAGTCTTGGATTTGAACCTGGCATACTGTTTTGTATACCAAAACACTAGAGTAGTTCCCTCCAAGGATCGTCACCTTGTTGAGGTGGAGAGGCTTGCATGTTCCAATGACCCCAAGAGTGATGCCGTCTGGAGCTCATGCTTCTGGTAGGGCCATCCATGGCGGCAAGGTCAAGAGAGAGGTTCCAGACAAAGAATGATCCAAGAAGTCCTCAACAGTGGAGCAGGTGAAGGAAGACTGTGGCCCCAATGGCTGCGAAGGTGGAAGAAGGCTGCAATGGAGAAGCGGCGCAAGTCATCGTGGTTTGCCCTGCCACTGAATCTGACCATCAACTGCCAAGACGATGTGGGCCCAACTATACGCTGGAGTCCCCACAGTAACATGCCACTTACAGGCTTCTGTCAGGTCCAAAAGCCCTGTGGCAATAGAGGATTGGCGATGGGGACAGGGCTGTGATACCTGGAGGCCCCCAGCCAAGAATCTGCACACAGGCAGTAGATGCATGATGGTCATCAAGCACCTGTTTCAGGATAGAGGTGCCCTTCGGCAGCTACATCCACGACTGTGCAGTCCTTTTTAGGATACCCTCTGCTCACCCCAATGGGGAGGGGGGCTAGAAAAGATGCCACAAAAACAGGCTGTCCCATCTCTCCTGGCTGGGAAACCGCACCCTGCGGGCTCACCATTCCTGCATTTGAAATAAAAAAAGGCTAAACTTCAGAACCTGGAACATATCCAG